TTAGATGAAGAGAACATGTTGAAATTTGCCATTATTGCCGTCGATTTTCGATCCGCCATTAACCGGCAGCCATTTTGGAAGATGAAGGCCGTTAMGGGCTGGTATCGAATTTTGACGTCATATGCTTAACACGAGTGAATTTGTCAACATGAACTACTGTGTGAATCCAATGTGAATCGAATGTTGTTRTCGAAATATTGCAATGTTCTTGGCACAAACTGTTATCTTACGTTATTAGCTYTATTGAACATTTATCACTGACTCCATACGTATATTCTATCTGATGTTACAGCTCAGTTTTCTGTTTGTGAATGAGACGTGGCTGTCTGACAAGTTTTGTTGTCAAAAGCACAACAAGCAAACAAGGGCGAAGGTTTGATTGCTAAATAATTATTCTTGAGATATTAAGATATTTTGCAATTGAATTTCGTTATCTTGGTCGTGCTACTGAGTAGTTGGAAGAGGGAACTAATCGTTTAGAAGGATATAATCTTCAATTAGAGTTCAGTAATTTTATCGACATCAACTTGTATCGCTATCTAGAATCCGACGCAATGTAGCGGCCGGTTTGCAATAAATAACACCTTCGCACATTTGCTGATTGTTGTCATGTTGTCACTATTTTACAATTCTACTTTTTACTTATAGGCATATTTTTTACATTGTAGTGTATCTGCACTGAAACATTTAAAGATAAACGGCTATTCAAACCATGTTTTGAGATCGGTGAATTAGTGAATTATCACAGTACTCATATTGACTCACTGATCAAGCAAGTATAAGCTGCCAATTTTCTTTCGCGTCTCAGCCCCAAAAGGACAAAAAGTATGTCGTTTTACGGGAGAGCACTTTTAAAGACTTTAAATAATTGTTCTTTTTCATTTATATCAAAACAACAAATTACGACTTCATGATAGTGAATTCAATATTAACATCACGCGCGGTGATAATAATTTTGTACACAGTTTAATCAACAGTTTAAATTCAAATTCAAAGCCGAAKTTATCTGTAGCATGACTGGAGTCTTAACTTATGAAGACTCCAAAGAAAATAGAAACTAACTTTTATAATAAACTTTAGGATGTCTACAAATCTGGGAATTGAGCTGGTCGTGTGCTCCCCATCTCAATGATATGTCTTCAAAGAGCGGATGGATAGTGTGTTTGTTATAGGCCGAAATACATCACTATAATTTTTTCAACGACTGCATTTGAACTCGGAAGGTCTCAGAGACAGAACAAAACGTTTGATTCGATGCTCCTGACTTTGTTTCTTCATTATTTTATACGCTTCAAACCTTCATTTCCCCTAAGGTTTGTATGTCTGAAGGACAACCTCGTTCCTGGGTTAAGCATATGACGTCATGCATCACGTTTGGGTAAAACCGCCAACCGATGTCACTTCGGCTCAGATTAATGGCGGATAGGAAAAAACCGACTTTCAAAGATCCATTTCTCCTGCTTATCAATGATGAAAAAGTTCTCAGAAATACTTATTTGGATCTTCATAAAGAGGTCTATGTACAAAAACAGCTCAAATTCATCGTACCCGCACTTTAAAGTTTTAGAGTTAGTGATACATATTTTTTTTAAATCATCACTCTTGATGTTTCCATGACAACGTCAGACCCTTGTAAAAAGGACCCTTCTTTCGTTTACAGCAATATGCAGAAATTCTGACCAATTTGACTCATATTCCAACTATATATGAAATATATCAGAAATTATGGGATATCATCGCTGATATTTTTTTCAGATACTACTGATCCTAGGCAACTTCGAAAAAATATCAGTGACCATATCCCATAATTTCTGATATATTTTATATATAGTTGAAATATGAGTCAGAGTGGTCAGAATTTCTGCATATTGCTGTATATTACTCGATATCTCCATATCGCCGCGGTGAAAACGTCTATATTGTTATGTATGGAAATCTCCTTACTTGCTCTTGTCACTGACAAAATAGAAAAAATTCTGTAATGTAAAACCCTTACAATTTCACAGAATGTACTTTTTTTCGAGATAAAGTCACCAAAAAGGAATTCAGAGTTACCATCCTCTGCAGGATGGACATTACAGATAGCTGCATAATCTTTATGTAGTTCTTTCTTCATCGATGTCCGACGTCCTTGGTTGACCTCATGGTTATATTGTAGCGGCAAGGCCACGCAATCCGATAAATGCTTGACCACTTCGCGGTCGCCCACGTATTTGTTTATGGCCAGATTCGCAGCCTTGATCCCAGCATTTATGGATCCCATGAGTATTGCTTGGGCTTTTTGTGCCTTGCGGTCTTGGCTCTTCATATTTTCAGATACCTGGTTCCATATGAGGGTGTTAACTCTGYGAATTTTCAAATCCCTCCCATGTCCGCAGGACGTACGTACTTATCCATCTTCTCCTTCAGTTTGTCCTCCCTAAGCTTAGACTTTAAGGTGGATCACAACTAATGAAACGCAAATTTTGTACTTTTTTAACTCGCTCGCTTCGTACAAGTATTTTGTAAAACGTGCTAAAATTTTGATATAACATGCAGTAATTATTGCAGTTTTTGACAGTTTTCAGTATTTAGTAATTTAAAGGCTGGTTTTAAATATACAGCGCATTTTCAAACAGTGATAATTCCAGTTTTCGAATATTTACTCTAAAACTAACAGTCGGACTTCGACTMCGACTTCGACTTAATAGTCGAAATATGAGTTTTTGTACGGCTCTCTATTCCTAGCACGTGGTTTTACATGTTTACAACACACATTTCTTACAGTACATAAATCTCCATTGAGGATATGAGGGTCATTTATAGTTTTAAAACAATGTTGATCTTTATTTGTCACAGCTTTCATGTGTTTCTGGCTTATAAGACTAGCTACATTTTCATAGCCAAGACGCGTGCCGTTCACTGCTGGACTTCGTTTTTGTGTCTCATATATTATTTCACATTCAGATCGATACATCCTCTTAATAAGAGGCTGATTGTATCCGCAAAGGGGTAGTGGTTTGGTATTCCCTCGAAAGGGCTCAACAATTATCCTCTTGCGAGGCTCAATAACTCCCCGGAGGGATTACTTATTCATGTTTT